GGACTGAGTGTAGTGATGGATACCAGAAGGTGGGAGATGGTTCTAGAAGATGGGGAGAAGTACGGTGCATGTACTCACATCTGGGAGGTTGTGGGGAACCCATCCAGGGATCAGACAACCTATCTGAGGACTTGTGGAGAATATGTCTGTCTCCTCACTGAAGTCAATGGGTGGTCACCCTCCATGGTCATCGGGGAATTCCGGATCATCATATACTAAGCAGGATTTGGATCCCGGTGGAGAACTTTCACCCCAAGAAAAAATGAGGGTGAGGTCAGCAGAGGAGCCCATAGTAAAGGAGGAAACTCTGAAATGTTTTCTTCAGAAGGTCGGTGTTTACTGGACAAGTGAATGTAAAATACACCATCAACGCGTTTCATGGCTTCAAAGTGTCACTTCATCAGGACAGGTGTAAGAAGACGATATAAAAATAGGGAATGAAGTAACAGTCCAGTATATGGTATTATAAAGACCCGAGTCACATACAATTCATGGACAGGACTGAGATTTATAGCATTCAGGATTTGTATGATGTTAGACAAGGTGAAGAGATATATGGAGAGGATGATCAATACATGGAGAAATCAATCTATTCTATCATAGAAGGGAATCAATAGATCAATCAATGACATCAACCAATCAATAAGAGCCATTTCATGGGATAGATTTATCATTCTGTGCACTGGTTATGTTGGAGGATCAAACCGTGATCACTGGATATTGGAAACATTCCTATTGATCTGATGATTGCTGGCATGGATTCCTGATTGATTATTGCTGGGAATAAAGTCCAATAAACACGCAGATTTGATGGGATTATTGATAGAAAAATCTCTTCATATTCCATGGAATAAATATGTGTAGAATAGTTTGGATTTGATGGAATAAATCTCTATAAAAAGACTTTGTGGGGTTTGTTGGTTCTTTTCTATTCCTCTCTAGGTCTGGATTTGAGGAAGAAGAAACAATTCCTCCAATTTCTAGTGGATGGTGAGGAGGGGAGAGATTTGGGGGAGTTTTGTACATACAGGAGGTAATAGAGAGAATCCGACTAGTAATTGATGAGAGGAGATTTCACTGGAGAGTTCCATTGGTGAGAATTCAGGGCTGGGGGCACTGCTGGGGCCTGGAGGGTTCTGATTGGACCACCAGTACATGTGTCATATAAATCTGGGGGTGTGCACTGCTGGGACCTGGAGGGTTCTGATTGGACCACCAGTACATGTGACGTATTAATCTGGGGGTGTGCACAGCTGGGGCCTGGAGGGTTCTGATTGGACCACCAGTACATGTGACGTATTAATCTGGGGGTGTGCACAGCTGGGGCCTGGAGGGTTCTGATTGGACCACCAGTACGTGACGTATTTATCTGGGGGCACTGCTAGGGCCTGGAGGGTTCTGATTGGACCACCAGTACATGTGACGTATTAATCTGGGGGCACTGCTAGGGCCTGGAGGGTCCTGATTGGACCACCAGTACATGTGACGTATTAATCTGGGGGGGGGGTGCACAGCTGGGGCCTGGAGGGTTCTGATTGGACCACCAGTACACGTGTCGTATTACTCTGGCAGTGTGCGTTCCATCAGTGGAATGATTCAGGCTACAGGCAGTTGAATGGTTGATTTAAAGGCCAAGGTCAGTTCAGGTGGAAGGCAGAAAAGTGGTCAATACACAGGCCAGGGTCAGTTCAGGCAGCAGGCAGAGGCATGGTCAGTGCAGGCAGCAGGCAAATGATCATTGTGACAGACCCAACCGGGACAGGGGCTTTTGGAAGAGACTAGAGGCTAGCCTTCTGCCCACTGATTATGGCCCATGGAGAGTACAGACCACTCTCTAATGATGGACAGCATGATGAACACTGACAGCGAGGCTGGGAGGAATTCTCTGCATAAAGAAAATAAATCTTCCCCTCAGGAGTGAATGGAAAGATGTCATATTAATCTTGTACAGGTTAAAGGTCAGAGGAAATATAGTGGCCCTCGTGCTGACTGGGTTGGAGAAGATCCTTTATTTGGGGCAGAAATATCTATCAACAATCTCCCTCAAGAAATTTATGAAGCTAGAGTAATTCCACTCTTCAGACTGTTGGAATATTGTACGAGTTTTGTCTGATGATGGACAGATTATACAAGTGATAGACAGCATGGATAATGGACGTGGTGTATTCAGGGGTGGGTTTGTTGTCGGGCTGTCTGGGGTGGGCTCTCTGATTAATCAAAGCATTGACTGAATATCTGTGATGTTTATCTCAATGTGTAACATTTGTTTTATTGTTCATGTGGGGGCTGCCCCTATTTCTGGATTGTATAAAAACCTGTGTTTTCTGTTCAATAAAGAGTTCCAGTTTGGCATCTAAGCTGGTGTCATCTAGTCTTGGGTGCAACGCCTGGCTGTAATACCTCGGTCCTGTGTCCTAGCAGTGAGGAAGCGGTTCTCTGATGGAATCACCTAATCGGAGTGACAGGCAATCCATCACAATCATCACAGAGGACATTGGAAATGAGGAAATGGCAGGCTGTCAGAAATACGCTCACCATACCTCCTATAATATCTTCGTGATGGGTAGTAATGTCTGAAGTAGTCACCTATGCATAGGCCCAGTTGGGAGGGACATTCGGGACAATGGAGACTGTGCCTCGCCTAACTCCCCCTCGGCTGCATACCTGACATCTTTTTTGGTGTCTTCGGCCTGTTTCTGTGGGTGGAATATTCTTTGGGAAATGTCATGAAGTCACAGCATCAGAGAGAATGTTTTCTTGTATTTGTTCACTAGCTGGTGCTAAATCCTAAGATACTCGGCGCCACCTAATGGCCAAATGCAATTTACAATTTTAAATCAATGGTTGGTTTAAGTTTGATTAACTTTGAATGTCCTTCAGCGTCCATGGTACTCACAAGTGCGGGAGTATGACCTATTAGTATGAAACCGTGCCTGGCGAAGGAAACTAAGGGGGCTACTTACAGAAAATTCATTGGACAAATGTGACAATCATTCATCCAGTCGTTACAAATTCTGGCCTTAACCACTTGCCGCCCTGCCACTGTAGAAATACAGCGGCAGGGCGGCACTGGCAGGCAAAACCACGTTTTAAAATGCGTGTTTTGTAAACAGATAGGGGGGCGCGCGCGAGGCGCGCTGCTGCTCTATCTGTCCCGCCAATCACCGCTGCGGATGTCAGTCGCCGGGTCACAGCCGGTCTTTACCGGCTGTTTCCCGGCGATCGGCGGCAAACAGTGACAGACAGCACAGCTGCAGTAGCTGTGCTGTCTGTCACTTCCCTGACAGCTCGAGGACGAGCTGATCGAGAAAGAACAGTTTCTCTCTCCCGATCAGTGGTGTCCCATCCAGCACACACCCCCCCCCCCCCCCTAGTAAAACACTCCCCCTCACACAGTTAACCCTTTCCCTGCAAAATAAAGTTAACCCCTTCCTCCCCAGTGCCATTAGTACAGTGTCAGTGTTTTTTTTTTTGCACTGATCACTGTATTAGTGTTTTTGGGGATGTCAGTGACCCCAAGTCAGTACCCCCCAATGTCATAATGTCCGCCGCAGTCCCGCCATAAGTCGCTGGTCACTGCCATAAGTCCCTGATCGCCGCCATAAGTCGCTGATCGCCGCCATTATTAGTATAAAAAAAAAAACTAAAAATCCCAGTATCTTTCCCGCCATTTGTAAACGCTATAACTTTCACATAAACCAATTAATTTACACGTATTGGGGTTTTTTTTTAGCAAAGACATGTCGCAGAATGCATTTTGGTAGAAATTTATGACTAAATTTGATTTTTGCATTTTTTTTTACTGGACATGTTTTATAGCAAAAAGTCCAAAATATTGTTTTTTTTTCTTCAAAATTGTCAGCCTTTCTTTTTATAGCGCAAAAAATAAAAAGTGCACAGGCGATCAAATACCACCAAAAGAAAGCTCAATTTGTGGGAAAAAAAAGGATGTAAATTTCATTTATGTACCGTATTGCATGACCCGTGCAATTGCCCGTTAAACTAGCACAGCGCTGTATAGCAGAAAAATGGCGTAAATTGCCAGTATCTATACCATAGTTTGTAGACGCTATAACTTCCACACAAAGCAATCAATATACACTTACTGGGATTTTTTTTACCAAAAACATGGAGCAGAATACATTTTGGCCTAAATTTATAACCAACTTTGAGTTTACTATATATTTTTTATAGCTGAAAGTAAAAAATATTGTTTTTTCTTCAAAATGTTTGGCTTTTTTTTTGTTTATAGCGTGAAAAATAAAAAGCGCACAGGTGATCAAATACCACCGAAAGAAAGCTCTATTTGTGTGAAAAAAAGGACGTAAATTTAGTTTGGGTGCAGCATTGCATGACCGCGCAATTATCAGTTGAATTAGTGCAGCGCTGAGTAGCAAAAAGAGGCGTGGTCATTAAGGGGGGTAAATCCTCAGGAGCTCAAGTGGTTAATTTACCAGAGTGATTTCCTATGATCATCAGTTCCATCTAGTGGCCATGATCTGGTATTTTTCCTGAAATGCCTCCATCAGTAAAAGTAGCACAATACACAATTATGGCCACTAGATGGAGCCAATGATCCTATGAAATAAAATATGGCAAAAACTCATCACAGCTGGGCGCATGCTGATCACATTTGTTCAACTTTTTTTTTTTAAATAGACCTCTAAATGTTTGAGAAATCTTCCACCACAAAATGTACAATGAAAGGTAATTACTTCATTTTTATTGTTCTCCTGCAATCAATGGCTAACCGGTCCCACACTTCATCCATGTCTTTGGTGACCTCTGATCTCATGGACTGTTTCTTCCATGATGAAGATCAGCCATGGAGTATATCTGAGGTGTATATCAGGGTGTGCTTCTTCCCCACATGAGAGCTGGGATGTCCAGCAACATTCCTCTAGAAGACATTTCCCGCACTCAAGGCACTAATACACCTTCAGGGTTCTGTGGGCCTCCTGATGTACAAGAAGACAGGACTTCAGTGAGGAACATTTCCCTCACTCAGGACAGGAAAGTGGCTTCTCCTCCGCGTGCAATCTCTGATGTCTGTAAAGACTGGACATCTGTGAAAAACATTTCCCGCACTCAGGACAGGAATAAAGGCTTCTCCCCAGTGTGCAACCTTCTGATGTCGATAAAGACCGGACTTTTGTGAAAAAAATTTCCCGCACGCTGGACAGGAATATGACTTCTCTCCTGTGTGCGATCTTTGATGTCTGTAAAGATGGGATTTGCTTGAAAAAATATTTACTGCACTCAGGACAGGATACAGCTTCTCCCCTGTGTGTGAGATCTCTGATGTCTGTGAAGATTTGACTTTTGTGAAAATATTTTCCCGCACTCAGGACAGGAATGCTGCTTCTTCCCCGTGTGAGATCTCTGATTGTAAATGGTGTGTAAAAACTGGACTTGTCTGAAAAACATTTCCCGCACTCAGGACAGGAATATTGTGTCTCACTCATGTGCAATCTCTGATGTGTAACAAGTTGTGATTTTAGTAGAAAATATTTCCCGCACTCAGGACAGGGATACGGCTTCTCCCCCGTGTGAGATTTCTGATGTATGGAAAGATTAGACTTCTGTGAAAAACATTTCCCGCACTCAGGACAGGAATACGGCTTCTCTCCTGTGTGAGATCTTTTATGCACATTAAGTTTGGATATATAACGGAAACTCTTCCCACACTCAGTACAGAAGAAGCTCTTCCCTGTTGGAAGGCCGGCCTGGTCCCACACAGTCTGAGGTTCCTCAGGATACGAGGAATCCGATGGTCCATCTACACTGGGTGGTGCCGGATGGACATGGGAGGGAGCCGGGTTTTCTCCTGGACTATACTGTGTGATGTCCTCATCTTCTACTTTCCAGTCTGGAGACAAAGTGAGACAATCCTCGGAGGTTTTCCTCATCTCCCGGCCATGGACTAAAATACAAAGACAAAGAGGATTACAAGATAGGAGCTGATTGGTTCCCCCAACCAGGACTCCGCCCACATCAGGCAGGATGGGGAACACAGCTCAGAAAAGTGACCAGGGGATTACAGGCTGATATCACCCAGTCCCCGCCCTACTCTGGACCAATCAGTGAGCAGTATGGGTGGAGGAATGGATTTAGTGTTCATGACCCACCTGTGCTGATCTCTGTAGGAGTGTCCTCCTCTATAAATGTCCCCGTTATTCCATCCTCCTCCATAGACTGCTGATCATCCCTCACATACGCCTCTTCTTCTTCTGATTTAACCTCAACTTTTATATCTATCAGATCTTCACCCTAAACCAAGAGAATGAGAGAAAAATATCATCTGTAAAATATGAGCTTACATAAAAAATCCACACATTATCTCTACAAGTCCATGTTCTAGATGCTCTGTCCCACCAACCTTGTAATGATGAGGGATGGTGTGACCTTCCTGTGTGAAATCCTGGGAATACAGAGGACGGGGACATCTCTCTGGGGGGTTCCTGGTATTAGGTGGCTCCATCATATCCTTGTGTCCTTCTGAAAACTCCTCCATCACTCCATACTCCTCATCCTCCTCTTTATACTCTTCTTTAACATCAATATTATCATCCCCGAGGATTCCACTCTGAAAGATATAATAAAACATTCATTGTAACAAACATGCTGTGTATAAATCACAACTACCAATAATTGTCATCATCTACCTGATGATGGTGAGGGATGGTGTGACTTTCCTGTGTGGAATCCCGGGAATACAGAGGACGGGGACATCTCTCTGGTGGGTTTCCTGTAGCTGGATGACTCCACCATGGTGTCCTGGTACAGATCTTTGTGTTCTTTAGTGATATCTGGCTCCTCCATCACCCACTCTTCATCATTTTCCTCTTTTATCTCTTCTTTAACCTCAACTTTAGGATCTCTCAGGTTTCCACTCTGAATATATAATAAAAATGCCATCAATGGTAACAAATGCAATAATGTACAGATACTATCAGTGATTGTACTCATCTACCTGATGATGGTGAGGGATGGTGTGACCTAAATCCCGGGAATACTATCAGTGTGGGTTCCCATGACTGGATCATCTACCTGATGATGGTGAGGGATGGTGTGACCTTCCTGTGTGGAATCCCGGGGAATACAGAGGACGGGGACATCTCTCTGGTGGGTTCCCATGACTGGATCCATCTGTAGGAAACACACACACTGACTGAATCCATTGTTTCTATGTGTTTATCAGATGATGGGGGATCTAGGTGGATCCTCCGTACTGCTCTCTCCTTTACAATAAAGTCTCCTCTTACCCGGTGATGTGAGGGGCGGCTGATTGTCCATCATGACGTCCTTGTAGAGATCCTTGTGTCCTTCTAAATACTCCCCCACTCCTCCATGGAGAAATAGACAGTGACACCCTGACACCTTATAGGAACCTGACACACACAATGATACAGTCACCATCCAGACACATCCCTTGTCTGTTACTGGAGAATGTCCCAGAATTCCCGCACCGCTCACCTCTCTCCTGTCAGCAGCTCAGTGATCTCTCTGGTGACTTCTAGAATCTTCTTCTTCTTTCTCTCTTCTATCAGGGAGGGAGGTGGAGGCAATGTGATGTCATATGATCTCCAGACTTCACAGGAGGAAAACTCTACATCTGAACACAAATAGTCACATCAAAATGATATTCCCAGAATCCTCCTCACCTCTCCATTCAGGTCTCCATTTTATTAAAGCCCCACTTCAGGCTGAGGTATAATTCCCCCCCACAGGACCCCCACACTACGCAGGTTAAAAAAGCTTATTCTGACTGTTGAGAATGCCAAGGGACCCCCACATCCTAAGAGCATCAGAAAAAAAAAGCCAGACGAAGGGACATTGGGAGAAGGAGCTGTGAGGTCAGTGTGATGTCATAGGATTCTCTGGTTCTGGATGGAGGGACATTGGGGGAGGTAGCTGTGAGGTCAGTGTGATGTCATAGGATTCTCTGGCTCTGGATGGAGGGACATTGGGGGAGGAGCTGTGAGGTCAGTGTGATGTCATAGTTCTGATTGGTCATAGGAGCTTATCAGTGTGATGTCATAGGATTGGATAGGGGACATTGGCAGGAGGAGGAGCTGTGAGGTCAGTGTGATGTCATATGGACATATAGACTCTGGATGGAGGGACATTTGGATGGGGAGATTTGAGGGTTCCTCTATATGAGGCTTCCCATGAAAACCAAATCCTTGTTCCTGGGTGCGTCCTACCTCTCCTAAACTGAAGAGTGAACTTTGACCTTTACCATCCAGAAATCTGTCCGGAATCTGTGGAAGTAAGCTGTCATGTGATCAGGTGACGTGCGGAGGAATGTATTGTAAATAGAAGACAATTGTCTCCAGAGCTCCTAATGGTGGGGATGGATTTGGCGGCGTGCTGGTGCCAAGTTTCCACCCCCCAGTGGCCACTCCCCCAGCAGCTGCAGCCAATAGCTTCAGTGCTGATCTGTGTATTCTGAGAGCGGAGGAGTCCCCCCATTATCACAATACAAGAGTGCAGCGGGGAGGATTCCCCCATCCACCTCCAATGTGTGGATGGGGGAATTGGTTCAGTTCTGCTGGCTGAACGATAAAACTGAACCATGTAGGCCAGCTTTGGGAGCAAGATATATTATCATCAACTCCTCCCCCTGAAGGGGTTAATCTGGGTTTTCACACTATATATGTGTGTATCAGCATCTGCCCAACCTTTACTTATCATTTCATTCCCCCCACATACAATGTCTGGAACCGGCATTTCATGACATCAATACCCCCCCCTTGTGGTACAGATGTGAAATTCTCTCATTTGAATATATGTGGTTAATCTGGGTTCCCACACTATATATGTGGTGTATCATCATCTGCTGGAGATGACTATGGAGGAAGAGGACGGACATGACTATGGAGGAAGAGGACGGATGTGACTATGGAGGAAGAGGATGGACGTGACATGGGGGAAGAGGACGGACGTGACTATGGAGGAAGAGGACGGGGGTGACTATGGAGGAAGAGGACGGACAGGACTATGGAGGAAGAGGACGGACAGGACTATGGAGGAAGAGGACGGACGTGACTATGGAGGAAGAGGACGGACGTGACTATGGAGGAAGAGGACGGACGTGACTATGGAGGAAGAGGACGGACGTGACTATGGAGGAAGAGGACGGACGTGACTATGAGGAAGAGGACGTGACTGGTGGAGGAAGAGGACGGACGTGACTATGGAGGAAGAGGACGGACGTGACTATGGAGGAAGAGGACGGACGTGATATGGAGGAGAGGACGGACGTGACTATGGAGGAAGAGGACGGACGTGACTATGGAGGAAGAGGACGGACGTGACTATGGGACATGACTATGGAGGAAGAGGACGGACATGACTATGGAGGAAGAGGACGGACAGGACTATGGAGGAAGAGGACGGACATGACTATGGAGGGAGAGGAGGACAGAGACGGACAGACATGACTATGGGGGAAGAGGACGGACTTGATTATGGAGGAAGAGGACGGACATGACTATGGAGGAAGAGGACGGACAGGACGGGGGGTTACTGGGTGTAAATAGAACATAACATCTTATTACCTCCTCTGCTGCCACTTCCACCAACGTCTCCTCTCTACTTCCTGTCTGTACCTGACATCACTTCCTGTCTGTCTTCCATAGAGACTTCCTGTCTGGGTAGAAGTGAGATCCCCACCTTGTGGAGCTCAGAGGAACTGCAGCCCCGAGAAGCGTCTGGTAGTGTGACCCCGGCCTTGTGCTGGGTGTGTATGGACTGTAGATCCTTATAGAGGGGTCACCTCCACTCCCACCAAGGGGGACAGAAATATATGACTGCTCAGGGGAGGGATTTTTGGCCCCTTTGATTTTGCAGTAAAATGTAATTGCAGATTTTGTCATGTCACACAAGGAATGTTATATGGATACAAGGAACCCAGTTGAGAAATGGCCCCGATCCTCATATTAGATCAGATTTTTTTCTTTTGGAGGGCATCAGACTTCATGATTGACATTGATGTACAGCATAGGACATTTTTTTATCATTTTTTTTTCTTTACAATTTAATTTTTTTGTGAATAAATAGAAGTATAATGTAGGAAGAGACCCTTGTCCCTTGTCCCCCCCCCGCAAGTTCCCCCCCATGTTGAGGGCATGTCACCTGGTATGGTCCAAGTGGAGAGGAATTACACCCCCCCTCCCCCTTTCCTGGCCTGGCCAGCATGCTCAGATAAGGGTCTGGTATGGAATGTTGGCAGGACCTTCTGGAACATATCTCAGATAGTCTCTGTAAGGTGACCATAGACATGGAGGACACCAGCAATGGTTGGGATGTAACATACCCCTGTAAAGGTGGCATGATATGACAGATATTCCTGGAATTCAATGTTCAGTATTACAGATACAGTGTTCTCTTCATTTAGTGGTCAGTAGAAGACAAATGGTCACAATATAAAAATCTGAATAGTTGGCTCTGGAGTGTGAAGATTGGAGGAATGAACACCTAGATGGCAATAATGATCTGACATCCCTGTAGACATAGATACGGATGAATGATCTGTCACCTCACTGAGCCTCAAAGGAAATATTTTGATGTGCTGACTACGACCCAGTGGGGAGAAGAGATTTGTGCACATTGGGCTCCCCACTGGCTGCAAAGGATTGTCCTTCTTATATAAAATGGTATGTGTCAGGAGTACAGAATCCCATAGGGGCCCCCAACATGGTTCTATGGGGTCTGCTCATGACAGCCATGCTGTGAATGAATATGTTGTGATCAGACTGAAGCAATGGTGTTGGAAATCACATCACCAACCCAGACACCAGAAACGGTGAGTCCATGTAGCCCATGGCACCTTCAGAAGACAGAACCAACCCCAGGGCTGAGGAGGGAACACCCCCCCAGAGGTGATTGGACAGGGTTAGAGCCCACATACTTATCTCTATAAATTAGGAAGCATGAGATATGGACTTGGTCTCCTGTGTTCTCATCTGTGACTATACCGTCTACAAGAAGATGAAGAGTCACACTCCGTAATCAGCCCATTCTTCATATTTTATTCTGTGTGTCACCCCAATGGGCTCGTTCACAAGGATAGAGTGGCCCCAACCCTACTCTATGTGAGCGAGCCCATTGGGGTGAAACATATTTCGGGAGTTTGGTTTTTCAGGAGATCATGTGTATGGAGTTATTTCATCATCAACAGAATGAAATATCAAGAGGAGATAATTACAGAGTGCAGCTCTTCATCTTTCTGTTCCTATTCATGATTTCATGTTGGAGAGAAGAAGACGGGCTACAAGTGCTATCACCTGGATGGTCCGTGGTCAATAGGAGGTGCAGGCTGGTGGTGCCGTGGATTTGGGTTCCTATTATACGGTCTACACTCATCATCTGTGATCTAGGAATCCCTCATACAATGTCTTCGGATGGAAACAGATGTATAGATATAGATTTATTTATGCATAGTGTAGAGTAAGCTTTATGGATGAGAATCCTTCATGTGACAAGTCACCTCCAGGTCCAACTATGGCCCCCGGTGTAGGAAATATGTTAATAGTTTTTTTATTTCTTAAGAAAGATGGAAGCCATGGGACATTGCTGCTGAGTTATGGAGGATTTAATAGGCTGATTGCCATCATATGGATTAGATTGGATAAACCAGGTCTGTAACTTCCCCACAAAGGATAATTAATGGGTAAATGTTACAAGAAAAAATTCAAAAAGCTGAACTCATAGCTCAAGACCATGTTCAGAGAGACATTTCTCTAGGCTGCAGTTCCTCTGAGCTCCACAAGGTGATGTTCTCGCTTATACACAAACAGGAAGACTGTATGGTAGACAGGAAGTGATGTCAGGTAAAGAAGGAAGTGATGTCAGGTAGACAGGAAGTGATGTCAGGTACAGACAGGAAGTTCCATGTGGTAGGAAGCAGGTAGAGGAGACATTGGAAGTGAAGTGGCAGCAGAGAGGTAATAAGATGTTATTTTCTATTTACATCCAGTAACCCCCGTCATGTCCGTCCTCTTCCTCCATAGTCACGTCCGTCCTCTTGTGGTATAGTCACGTCCGTCCTCTTCCTCCATAGTCACGTCCGTCCTCTTCCTCCATAGTCACGTCCGTCCTCTTCCTCCATAGTCACGTCCGTCCTCTTCCGCCATAGTCACGTCCGTCCTCTCTTCCTCCATAGTCACGTCCGTCCTCCATAGTCCTCCGTCCATAGTCCTCCATAGTCCGTCCGTCCTCTCCTCCATAGTCACGTCCGTCCTCTTCCTCCATAGTCACGTCCGTCCTCTTCCTCCATAGTCACGTCCGTCCTCTTCCTCCATAGTCACGTCCGTCCTCTTCCTCCATAGTCACGTCCGTCCTCTTCCTCCATAGTCACGTCCGTCCTCTTCCTCCATAGTCACGTCCGTCCTCTTCCTCCATAGTCACGTCCGTCCTCTTCCCCATAGTCACGTCCGTCCTCTTCCTCCATAGTCATGTCCGTCCTCCGTCCTCCATAGTCACGTCCGTCCTCTTCCTCCATAGTCACGTCCGTCCTCTTCCGCCATAGTCACGTCCGTCCTCTTCCTCCATAGTCACTGGGAGTTGTCATCC